ATTTATGGGTAGATGAACTCTTACAGTGAACTTTCTTTATCTCTATTGCACCCGTATAGCACATGTAGTCCTAGCTAGGGTAAGCGCTCACTGTACAGTAAGTTGGTAAAAGCATAACACTTACCGGTGTTTAACAACTACGCAGCCGCTTGTCTGGGGCCACTTTCTATAACTTTCTCTTTTCTCACCTCATGACTGTATTCCATGTATAGGGGACATTTCGCTAGTGATTCTTCTTATTAAAGATAAACGCACTCAATTCACACTACTTTTGTGTAGAGGACATATACGTCTGAAGTTTTGGTTTTCCCATAGCTCGAACATCAGCCACCTATAACCAATCGTAATATCAACACCTTTTACATAGCAAATATAGCGGAAATGTCGATTTCATTGCCAAGTAAAAAATATTCGTCGAGAACATTTTTTCTTTGCCCGAACAGGCCACAAAAGAAGGTCTTCCTTGCAATGTATCCTAACAAGCGGTGAAAAATGGGTCCATTTTAGGGAATATCAAGCCTAGAAATTTATGGATAGATCTAGGCGTACCATCTACATTGACTGGGGGACTGACTCGCTTTGGCAGGAAATCGACACTCTGTGTTTGGCGTGCTTTTAAAGTCTGATGAAGGAGTCAATACCAGACGCTACCGATAACAACTAATCCATTTTATCCGTTCACTGCTCGAAAAGCAAGCAAGATTTCAAATAATAACACAGTGGCACTTTTCTATGAACAATTGTTCATCCATCCTTCTGGCACCAGCGATTCGAGACATTTTGAAAGCACTCCATTAAAGAGTGCAAGCCGCAGCAATTTACTCAACAAAACTCGAGTGCTTTCGATTACCACTTATTTGCATCCTCGACGGCGCACGTACTTGCTGAGCAGCGCATCACTGTTTCCAAAAATATACGCAAATCAATCGACGACTGATTTGCCTCAAAAGAACTGCAGTTCTTCCGACGTGGCATCCGCAAACTATCGGCCAGATGGGAAAAATGTGCATTTATCAATGAGCAATGCCTTGTATGATATATTTGTAGTCATTTTCTGTAGAAAAATTTTGATTTCATTTGTGCGTAGCTGGCATAGCTCGAATGAGATGTACTTTGGCTTAAGAACATGGAATAAAATTGAATTATTCCACAAGCAATAAACCCAATCTACGTCGGAGAGCTAGTTTAGTGAACTCGAAAAGCTCGATGATCTTTGAACAGCAGCTTCTTGATTATGTCAATGTTTTCTTCCTTCTATTGCGAGGTTGAAAACAACGCAATACTGGGTTAGGCTTCTTCTTCCAATGTTTCCAGTCGAAAAACTACCTCATTGCTTTGGCGGTTATAATGCATTACAAGGCCTCGGTAATATGAGTCGACTTTTTAAGTTTACTCTAATGTATGAGATATAAGCTAAACTCTTCAACTCAAAATAGCAGAGGAAAGTTTTATAAAAGAAAAAGAACTAAATTTTGAAGACATAGGTTAAGGGATTGGTTCTCCTAATATATCCTTCTTTCGTTTTCATTAGAGTACAACCAGTCGAAAAAAATGGTGCGTTGTCTCTAACGGTCGTTCGATTTCACCAAATAAAATGTTGCGTACTACTTTAAGGACTTTTTTTCAAGTTTCTCGAATATCCCTTGAATATGGATTTGTAAATATTGCTGTGTAGTTAGAGATTCAATGATAATCCTTTCCATTATACGAAAATGCATAAATGTTTTTAGTTTTTTGTAATTTTACTTTATTCTCATTTATTTATTTACTTATTTATGTTTTTTTTAATATATATTTTTTTTTTTTGCATTTTTTTTACATTTAGAGACAAAGATTACAGAGAAAAAGAGATAAAAATTAAATTTCCATTTATTTCGTGATGACATTGAGTGAGTTTAGGAAAAAACGATTCATTTTTAGTTTTACTTTTTGTTTTGTGTAAATTTAAGTTTATGATGAAATAGATTTTCTTTTTAGTTATTTATTTTTTTTTTTTTTGTATTTTTATATTTTATTTTTTGTTTTATATCAATACATATACACACATAAACATAAACATTTAGACATTTATGTATATATGTTTGCATAGAGAGAGAAGAATAGGCAAAATAGTTTATGTTCGTAGAGGTGAGGAGGAGATGAATCGATTTATTTTGATTTGATTGTAGGAGTGTGGGAGAAAGAGCTGGTGGAATTTATTTGTAATTGTGTGTATTTTTGTTTTTCATTATTATTTTTATTTTTTAATTCACTTGGTTTATATTTCAACATCTGTTTGATTTTTACTATATTTTCAATTAGTTTTTGCCTTTTATTTTATTTTGCTTTCTTCCTTTCTTTTTTTACATTAACTTAACCTAATTGCTGACGGATATTAGTTTAAAATCAGGATCATGTTACATAAAGAGTTTTATTTTTAGTTTTAGATTCGCAATGTTTTTTTTCGGTTATTAATTTGATGCTATTACGCTTTGTTGATGCTTTTTTTTTTTATCTGGTGTTGTTGTTTTTTCCTTCTATTTTTTTTTTTTTTTTTAATTTAGAGGATATCATCCAATGAAAATCACTTTGTGGTACAGGCGGATTTTAAGCTTTTTATAAGTTTTAAATAAAAAACGACAAACAAACTGTAATTACAAAACAGAAAAATATTCCATGAAATGCAAAAATCGAAAGGAATTTTCATTCAATCGGAAGAATTTGTTTTTATTGTTTAAATGGTAAAAATGTGTTTTTTCTTTTTTATTCAAAATTAAATTTACGTTGCGAAGTAAAAGTTTCTAAGCATTGAAGCATTTCATCAAACTGAGGGAAAAATTTATTTTTATACCCATCATCGAAGGACGAACGGTATATTGTTTTGTCGAAACGTTTGCAACACCCAGTAGGAAGCTTCCAAGACTCCGTAAAATGTATGTATTCGTGATCAGCTGTCTTATTTGCTTATTTGCTTGTCTGTCTGTCTGTCTATCCATCTGTCCGTCCGTGTGTTTATTTATGGCACACATTCTCCTGGTCGCAAAAATGAATCAATGTCTGAAGCCTAAACGGAACGCAACTTCGTTTCTCTAAGCAGAAATTTGTGCGTCTTTGTGCATTACCCACAAAATGTGAAAGATAGAAGGCTGTACTGTTCTTTGTTTATTTTTCACGTAGAAACTTGACAAATATCGGCCACGCCCACACAAAACAATAAGTGACTAAATTTTTATTGTTTTTACTTTTCTGACGCTCTCTGCTTATTACCCACATGAGGAATATGTTACTCGTATTATAATGTGTTAATTCTAAAATAAATATTGGCCATTCCGCAACGTGGAGGACTCGTCTCTTCTTGTGCTGCTAACACAATTAGCTGGGTATCGCCGGCACTAAAGAACGGAGCGCGACAATCTATTTCTCTTCACTTTGCTTGTTCACAAAGAATGGGTATAGATAGAATATGAGAGTCGTTGGCCACGTGTATGAAAATTTAATTCTTTTTTAGGTCGTTTTTACGATGACAGTGAAGGGTACACAAGATTCGGTCGCGGCCGAATGTAATTTTCTTGCTTGTTAATAATGGTATTTCTACAAATTTATGTTTTGAATGACAGATGAATTCCATCCAAAGAAGTGTAAAAAGTTACTGTTACTGTCTCTACAATAAAGAAGGAAAGTATGCTTTGCTAATAAGAGTGTAAGTTTTGCTTAATACACTTTTAAAAGAATTACAAGCTTACGCTTTATGGAAACGATTGTCTTTCGAATTTAAATTATTCAAATGTGATTTTATGTTGAACGAAGTCGCGAACGGAAAACTAAATGAATTTTTGTAAAGTTTTGTTAATCGAAAGCGTGGAAAACTCGAACTATTGCAACGTTGGATGAATTGTTGCTGTTTCGTGCTTTAAGGTAGTGAATAAACCTTTCGCTGTCTTTTAGCTTAACAATGAATGGAATCTGATTCCGCTTAAGTCGAAAAATACTAGTATTGAGGTGTGACGGATGATGAACAATGATTGCTTTACACTGTCCAAAGGCGAAGACAAAATGCTGAAAATTAAGGAAACCGTTATTATTGATAATAGGGCTAAAAATGATGGGAGGGGCGGTGAATTGCCTAAGCCTATTATGATTTGTTCTAACTAACTAAAATGATCACTTCAATCACTGAGCAATACTGTCAGCAAGAACTTCTGCAATTGTAGCGAATATACTAAAAGCTATGACATCGGCCACAAGTTGCAAAACTCATCTAGGAACCTGTAGCGTGCAAATAGTTAAGGTCTATTCATACTTTTGTTTTTTTTTTATTATTGCACTTATATGCAAGCAAGTGGTCATGATGTTTACTCTGCATACCACATTCCTTGCATTCTTTTGAAAATAATAGAAAATAAACAAGTAAGAAAATTGAATTCGGTCGGGACCGAATCTTTTATGCCCATCATCGTTTATCCGAAAAGAAGACAAAGGACGTAAAACAACAAAATTCTCATGCTCTAGAACATGGAGTGGGCGCAGCTGATTTCTTCTATGTTCAAAACAAAAGTTTTTATCGTAGAGGCATATGGGCGCTATAGGCGTATCTTTCCAAATCCTTTTGCCAGTTTGTAGGCGATATCTTCATTTTCGCTAACGGAAGAATGTTTACCACAAATGTAGACAAATAGGCGGGCATGCTTAGGTGCATTCAAGACTTAAAACTGTCCAAGAATTTGTATACTTTGTGGAGGTTTTTGAAGATTGTTTCTGCCCATTGCAAAGGTATTGAAAAAATAATTCAATTTTGCTACTGGATAGGCGTGGCCGATTTTTTCCGTTTTTGTGCACAGCGTCGCCCATCAAATATGAAAAACAGTTTACGTTCTTAGTTTACGTGGCGCTGGGGGCGTGTTCTTCGACCCATTTGGCTTACTTTCAAGACCAACCTGCGTGCAAAAACTTCCAATATTTTCTCAGTTTTCAAGTCAATAGCTTCATTTTTGCGGCCGAGAGAATTTATAAAACAGACATTAGACAGACGGATAGACGATCAGACGAACAGACAGAGACATGTTTAAATTGATTTAGAATTTGATGTTGATTAAGAGTACTTTGCCAGGTCCGTTCTTCTGCTTCTTTCTGGGGGCTGCAAACACTTTGACGTAATGAATCCTTCGGTGATGTGCATAAAAACTAAGTAAAAACAAAAGAATGCAATGAAAAGAGAGTCGTTCGTAGGAGATCGGTCACAAGGGTAATGAGAAGGTTAGTTTTAAGTCAGTTAGTTCAGCCAGTGTTTTGTCGTGGCGGAAGAAATTCACACAAACATTACGTAGCGATAACCAAAGAAGTTTGTAAAAATGGCCTTTTCTAAACTAGACTTTTGCACGACATTCGCTCGATTAGCCACTTGCTTTGTTTCATGACGTTCTAGTGGTCAGAAACCATGAATTTACCACAGGAAGCAAATATTATTTTTCCCTTGAACATTATAATGATTTTTCTTTTATGGAAAGCCGGAGTGAGATTTGACTTTACTTTCGTAAAATCGGGATCGGCATGACTACTGAGGAAAAACTTGACATCACTTGTGCAAATACACAATACATTTAACGCAATGCTATATACATTTGATTCAATTCTATTAAAAGGGGAAGCGGTCAAGAAATGGTCCGATCGCTATCATTATCAATAGCGCTCGTTCTTGGCTGAAGATAAGGCAGGCCGTCAGATCTCATCAGAATAATCGCAAAATTTTTATCCTGCAAGTTGAACATAAGAAAACAGGACGGACGGAAAAGCTTAAATGGATGTAGGAAGCAGTTCAGCACTGCGAGATATAGTAAGGAATGATTCGCAACTATAATAATCTATGCCTGTTGTGGCCCCGTTTGTATGTTGAGACAGTTGATAAATTTGTGCGTCTAAAAAATGAGTAAACAAAGCATTACATTTTCGACAATTTTAAAAAAGCTTTTGCTTTCGTTTAAATAAAAATATAAGATGGTAAACAACTTACCGCTAAATAATGTTTTAAATTCCGCCTTGAACCAAAAATTTGTTTATTATGATCGCACTGTTCGTTTTCAACGATACTTAATTTTCTTGTGTTATCCTGTGTAAATTGAAAAATTGTTTTCTCTTTTTGAACCTAAATTCAAAAGAGAGAGTGAGAGAGAGCGATAGAGTGAGATCTTATGTAAACGGCATCACTTAACAGATTAATTTCTTCGCCTTAATTTAACATTTAGTGATAACAACGATAGACAATCAGAATGATAATGAGAGTAAGTGTATGTATGGCTGTTGTTGTTGTTGTTGATGTTGTGTAAGAGAGGCAGTGTTGAGATTAGAGGACTGCATAACAATTCAAAGCCCAGTAGAATGGCAATGATTTCTAATTGTAATTGTTTGTATCTCTTTGGTTTTAGTTTGATTTAATTTTAGTTTTTTGTTTTTCCTTCATTAACTACATTTATATACATATGCTAACTACACTTAGTTTAAATAAAATTTAATAAATGCTAAAAATATGTTCAGGTTGTTTTCTCTTGTTAATGTGTTTTTAGTTAAATTCTCGAAACAATTAACCAACGAGAAGATTTTTCTCTAGGTTTAAGTGCAAAGTTCGTCTAATAGTTTTTTTTATTTTATTTATTTTTTTTTTGTTTTGTTTTTTTTTTTTTTGAATTTCAATACGTAGGACAAAATTAAAATCGATTTATATATACATGCCCAAGTCTTCATAGAAATCTTGTAGATAAGCAATTAGTTGAGGGAAGGACGGCCTTTGCTTAGGATCCACCAGCCAACAGCAAGACATGACAGTAAAACTTTAAATGGTTAAAAACAGGAAGGGGAAAAGGAACAAAGCATACAGAAAATAGATTAAAGTTAGTGTCGCCGTTCTAAATAGTTTGATAAGAAAGAGAAAAGATTTTGATTTACATGCACACATCATTCAGACAGTTTGTAGCCTTACGCCTGACCGGAAGAATTGGAAAAGTGCTGAAAAAGTTAACCAAGTAATTTCAGTGACCTTTACAGCCTTCTTAAAGCTTGTAGTTATGAATCAGATATTGTATTATGATATCTAATCGCAGAGTATACCGATGCGGGTTGCCGCTCTCTAAGCCAAATAGATTGGCGCAAAGAGGCTCGTCAGTCGTCGGTGCAGGCAATTTTCTTAATTGATTATTTTTGAATGAATAAGTGAATGTTGTGCTCAGCGACTTTTAATAAAATTTGCCGACAAAGATGGGCGGAAAAAGAAGCAAATACTCCAAATACTCTGCATTTTTCATTAAACAGTGGCAGATGGCGTGAGTAAACATTTCAAAACAAATTCGGAAGCACAACAAGCGAAACGAAGGAATCATTGGAAAAATGTGCTACAGAAATGAAAGATTGTAAGTTTGATGGCAAATATGTTAGGGAGTAAATTTCTTTTGACGCATCATCTCGGGCCGCATCATTCGGTCGGCTGCAAAGTTTCTGAATAAGCAGAATTGCTTATGCATGTGTTTGCTCAGGTCAAAGAGAGAGATTTTTTATTATCGTTACTTACAATTCGTCTGGACAATTAATGGGTTGCGAGAGGCGAAAACCGTCGCTTAGATATGGTGTTAACTCGAATATGTCGACTTCTTCGAACGGTGTTAAGGCCAGCGTAGCCAATTCCCAGAATAGAACACCCAAACTCCAGACATCTGTCTGCGTATTGTAGAAGCTCTTTTGTTGTAGCGATTCTAAAGCCATCCATTTTAGTGGACGATTTTCATTATCGCATAAGCAATGATAGTCATCGGGAAAGAGATCACGCGACAAGGCGTTATCACATATTTTAACATAGGAATCAATATCCAGGCTAAAGTAAAGAAATAACAATCACTTTGATAGCATCATCTTGTCCTTCTTTTGTTTTTTGTTTTTGTTTTTTTTTTTCTTTTTCTTTAGAATAAGCACTACTTACTAGCAATTTCTGGTCGCTATATCTTTGTGTATAATCCCCACCGAGTGCAGATGGGCCAAACCTTTAGTAACATGTAAACCGAATTCCACCAACTGGCGAGTACTGAGCGGTGTATTCATTTCGCGCGACTTCTGCAAAAATCTATAAAAAACATCGAGAAAGAGGGAGAGTTTGCATTAAAATTGAAAAAGATTTCTTTTTTTTTGGGGAACAAAATTTACATTTTTAAATTTCCTTTACAAGGATAAGGATATGCTATTTCAGGTGGCCCCGGTAATTCGGTATTGGCCAACATGGGAGCCAATATGTTTTGATGACCCACTCCAATAAGCATTGAGGAATCCTGCAGTAAGCAAGCGACTTGTGTTAAAGAAGCTCCATCTACTACGGTTTTGATCAGAACATCACAGGCGTCCGCCAATTTACCGCCATATATACGACCGTATGTGCCTTCCTTGATTAGATGTTCAGATAGCAAAGTGCCCGGCTGCACATTGGGTATACGGCGCATTTTCTCTTTAGGATCACCTGAACTGCCGCCGGCTGTACTGGCACCACCAAATATACTGCCGTTGCCCCGACTCGATTTCGGTGTAGACATGCTATAGGCCTGAAATGAATAAGAGCACAAATACTTACAAATTTCATATGGTAAAATTAATGAAGATAAATTTTCTTAACAAATTTATTCGAATTTCGAATTTTATCATACACTTGCAGAGCATAAAAATCCACTTAGGCAGGCTTAAAATAAATCTCTCTTCCCCTCGCATATACATAATTGTAAATCCTTGTCAAATTAAAAGATATCATCAATTAGATTGAATAGTTATAGGGGAAAGTGAGTATACATCGCACAAATATATGCATGTACGCGCACACCCACACGCACACACAATCCTATATTCGTAACCATATTCAGGCACACGTACAGAGCAAGATTGCAACACTTGCTCTATTACCCTTGACATAACACAATGAAGAGTTAATTTTCAGTTTTCTCTCACTGCTGTCTCTCTCCATTTCTACCCTTTTTTTTTATACCCTACACTACTTGCGCGAAGAGCATATTAGATGTGTGCCGATGAATGCATTCTTCAGCAAGGCGCGAGACATTATGATGAAAGGATGAAATTTCGTACGCTGGCATCTTTTCACTTCGAAACTCATGCATTTTCATTTTTAATATTTCTCGATTGGCAATGTAGGAAATTGGGATGGGTTGGCGACATTTTCTGATCTGTTTATTATATAAAGTTTCCCCAAAAAGAGAAGCCTTCGCGTGGCAACAAGTTATGTTATCTAAAAATAAACATCAATGCGAACTAAAATCACATAGATCTGGTTTTCGGACTTCTTCGCATGTAAGGGGAGAGGCAAGCTCTTTTATGATAACGTGGTCCAGTTTTGATCTTCTTATGGCGCAAGTTGACCCAGGATAGAGATTTAAAACACAATCTGGCTGCGCTATGTTTGGATCATACAGATTTAGTTTTAAACTTCTTCGCCTATAGTGGTTCTCATAGGTAAGATAACTCTTTGTATGACCACAAGTTCGTCTTTTTGATTATTCTATGATGAAAATTGCTACAGAATAATAATTTGAAATGAAAATATGTCTTATATTTTTGAATCATATAGATCTCTTTTCGGTCCTCTTGGTATATAAGAATTCTTATGATATAATATATCCATTTTCTACGATGAAGTAGGGCGTTGACTTCATTGGGATATAATCTTTTGGCTTGTCATTATTGCCTTTTTATCTCTTTCTCTTGCTTAGTAGATAGTAAAGAGCATAAAAGAAACCACAATTCAACTTACACTTAACTAGCTTGCTGGACCGGCAACAATGTCTGTATTTGACTTGGTCAAGTGATGATAGTATGAGACAAAAATGAGCACTTCAATATATTACTTCATAAATCATTTTGACCATAAAACTAACCAAGCTAGCCAATAGTCAGAACGAGTTGTAATCATTTCTTCTGCTTTCATACGTTTACACATAAAGACGCACATGTAAACATGTAAGGTATACGGTCGGACAACATGACTGAGTGAATGTTGTGTGAACGAATGGTAAGCGGATGCAATAAAACTACAAAAGAGGAAGTCGCGAGTGCATGACCAGTAAGCCCGGTTAGTCAGTAATCAGCGAAATGGCTGCGCGACTTATACAAGTCTCTCTTATATAAGTGTAAGTATAGTTGCGGTAGCTAAAGCGGTAGCAGGACATCATTTTATTTATCGAGTGCAAGTCGCTTCGCGTCACTTCAATTTCATTTTGTTACATTTATTAAAGACTGCACGACCGCAATATGGACAATTTATTTGTGGGAGGCCACAAATTGCTGAGCGAATCCGCCTGTCGAGTTGAAAGTTTTTCCATTTTATTATTCCCTTTGTTTTTTGGTTTTGTTCTATGTGTTGCTGACTGTCATTGCTGTTGTTCGCATGTAGGGACGATGATAATAATAATAATAAAAATAAGAAATCAAAAAATTTATCGTCATTTTCCTTCCACCCTTGACTTTTCTGTGCTTCAAAATTAAAAACAAAAAACAAAAAAGTTTTCAACAGTTCTCTTGGCGTTGATGTTACTTTTGTTGAATAATTTCAGTTTTGATGTCATTGCTGTTGTTGTTATTCGTGTTGTTGTCTTTGTCTTTTTTTTTTTTGTTTTTTGTTTTTTTTTAGTTTTTGTGCTCGCTGGCTGACTATATTTGTGCTCGTTATTGTTGGCAACTTTCAACTTATAATAATGTTGCCAACTGCGCCCTGCATGCTGGTGTTGCTGTTGCTGTTTTGTTAATGCTACCACCTACTGAGCAGAGAGGGCCTAACGTGACCAGAACCGTGTGTTACAAAAGAAAATTTCAATTAAAATGAAACAATACCTACAATACGGGACAGGCAGCCTTTTGTGTTAAACACACACACACACACACACACACACACACACAAACACACCCATGCAGGCTCAATATATATAAATATATATGTACACATGTACAGGCCATTACGCGCCCATTCATTCAGCTGGTGATAAATCTTTGTCGCCAAATAAATGCCATCCAATGCTTTGTTCCACGACTCAGTTTTACTCGTCTGTAAGTATATGTTTGCTTCTTGCTTTACGCAAGAGTGTGCTTGTGTCTTTGTGTGCAGATACTTTGTCTCTCTCTCCCTCTTTCAACACGAACGAAATTGGAAACCTTTCCCTGCGGTACTAACGCGACGTTCAACTGTAGCGTAATTAAAACTTTGACTAACGATGATAACCAAAACAATAACAACAACAATAATATTAACTATAACCACACCAACAGCAACAATAACAACAACACAAAGTTGCTATCAGTCGAGCAAGTAGATATACGGCCAGCAGCAACAGCAATAACAGAATTCGCCCAGATGTGCCATCCGATTGTGAATTGTGTAGCCCTGGTGATGGCTTGTGCTGCGGTATTGTAAAACACCGTTGCTTGTATGCAACCTTATGCATATACATATAAATACGTATATATATATATATATGTGTTTGATAAAAACTGTTGCTGTTGTTGGCTGGCGAAATCTCTGCTTTATCTTTAACACACACTCAACATAAGACATAAAGTTTCACCTCATTTCTCTTTTCAGTTTCGTCGACTTTGGACTCGTTGTTGATTTTTTTCCATTTTTGGTTTTTGTTTAAGTTTATGATGATTTTTAATGGAGTTATATATAACCGCAAAAAATATGCTAATGCTGTGATACTTGAAGGAATTGCTACTAATTAGAAAACTGATTATAGAAGATTTGATGTCATAATGACAATGTTTTCCCTAATGTTGAATACTCTATCACTGCAACTAGCTGTTAGTGTTTCTCCCATAACGAGAACGATGATGACGACGACGATGACGACAACAACGATAACAACAACAATAACGACAACATTCTCTACAAGGTTGAGACGACGATGATGATGAAGATAAATACATATTTCCTGCAAAAAGCGCACACACACATAGATTGCAAAGATTTACCAATAATTTCTAAAGATTTGCTGTGACAGGGTGAGGTTAGAGGATGTGATAAATTGTAATCTCTAAGTGTATTTGGTGCTGCTGCTTCGTTGTGTTTTTGTGAATGTATGTAGAATATGTGCACCACGTGTCAAATGTTGCTACAAACATGTCTTTAAATTCTTCTTATTATTGTTGTCGCTATTTTTGTTATTGTTGTTGTTGTTCTTGTTGTTGTGACACATCAAATGACACATCGTATAACTACACATAGAGCAGCATCATCAACAGCGATAAACACATACGAACATACACTTCTATATCTTTGCTCATCCCTTAGTTTATTCACTATTGCTCATACATGGTCTTAATGATTCTCTTCGTTCGATTTATGCATGTTTTATCCATTGTCATGGTAACATTAGCAACGGTATATATTACTATGTACGGTTGTATGATTAACAGTCTGTGTCTTATACTATTTACGTTTGCTTGCGACTGCAAGTGACACACGCTTATCAAAAATCAAATCAAGTCACCCTGTCTGCCTTCGTATCTGTCTGTCGCTGTGCGCCATCGAAAACCAAGAGAAGCACAAATCGTAACAAACACCAAACACACTAGAGGAATATCACTTTGATTAAAGTCTACTGATATTGCAGTATGCTATGGTATGCTTTTATAGAATAACTTTTCACATAATTTCGTGAATGCAACATTAGTTAAATTAGTAGACTTTCATTAATATTTGAAATGATTGCAAACTCATTCTTTTACCCTAAGGCAGTTGCTTCTTAATTACAAGATCAATAATATTCATCTTGGAATTATCATAAGCTTTAAAGCAGAGAGAAAGAAAGAGAAGGAGAATGCTTTTCAAAGTAAGCAATTTTCTTAACTCTAATCACTGGCAATCTATTCCAGTTAGGTTTTCAGACTCGCCACTGTCTGGAACAGAAAAGATATTTTTGCATTAAGAAAATGCTTCTAGAAGACTAAGTAAGCAGTGTTAATTGTTTACAAATTTAAGTTGTATTCCTTTTACTAGATGGATGATACGATGTTAACTCTAAAAATTTACTTTCGAAACGTTGCAGTGGGGAAAAGTCATATTTAAATACCCTAAAGCACTTCGCGTTATACAAACATTCATTAATTGTCGTGACCTAAACATTATACTTTCTCAAATTCTGGCGACCTGCAGGAAAAACATGAAAATACCAGGACAGACATCACACGAAGTTGGATAGATTCAGAAAATGATTCTCAGATGTTCAGTATCAGCCCTTCTGGATACTGTATGCGTCCGTACAAAGTTAATCTCTTCTTGTGCCAAAAGTTGTGTAAGGTAGAACATATACAAGATTACATTCTTTAATTATATTACAAAAATCAAACACACACACACACACACACACATAAAAAACGTCCACATGAAAATCAGCTAATTTTCTAGGTAAAAAAATTCCTTAAAATGTTGAAAGCGAATACCGTTTTATTATGTTTTACCTGGTGACGTCATAAAGTAAAATGATCTTACGTAGCCAGCGATTGAGGAACAGATTAACAACAATTCGAAGGAAATTTAACAGGACTA